CTCGTGTTTCACGCGAATAATTGGCCTCGATCTTCCATTTTCTTTCCATTTTATTCGCCATGTTTGGTACCAAAATAAACTTTAGAAACGTGGCTTTCAAACTGGGACTGTTTTAATTTTGGCGGTTTTTACTGTAGTCTCCTCACAGCCGTTCTTAGTGGCGGACTCCCTGCCCCCCGCCCCACAAACGGCTGCTTCAATCCGAGCTTTAATTCTTTCTCCAATCACAGTTCGGCTTTCATTTYCTTGCAKCARTTCCCGCCAAAATTATTGACCAATAGGAACTCGCGTATTATAAGTGCGATCATACTAAACATGGCGGGTGACATCGCGGATAGTTTTGTGTTTGCTGCTCAAAAATTCAAGATATCGTGCTCAAATGAATGAGTTTCCAGTAATTTGATCCCTCACCAAACGCAATGCATGCATGGATTGCCAAGGGGCAAACAAAGTGTGAACTACAAGAGTTTGTATGGCGGAAATTCGCATTTTCATGTTTATCGCTCGATTTTTCAGTGGATATGTAACTTTTTTACGCTGTTTTTACGGGATATTATTAGGAGGAAGTTGTACAATCTGGATACGTRAGTTTAGAACGATATATGTAAAATTATAGGCGAAAAACTCGATTTTCTTTCGCAATTCGCAGTGTGAAAGTATGTACAGTAACACTTCGCTCACGGACTTAAAAATAATGAGATTTTTTGTCAAGCTAAATGCATGATTGCTCAATAAAATCATTCTATATATATTATACAGTGTGTGAAACATTGTTATCGAAAATTCGAGGGTTAGGGTGAGTTTTTTGACCTCTAGAATGTTAACTTAAGAAAGATCTAAAATACATTGTATCCGTTCGCGGTGATGGAAATTGTTTCTATATTGCTGTCGCCGTATTGCTTTGTGTTTGAACGGCAAAAAGTGACTAAGGACACGCGGAATTGTAGAGCTTATATGGTTGTTTGATTGAGGCAAATGCACAGGTTTTTGAGCCGCTTTTATTTACTGCACGATCAGTAGAACAACATCTCACTTTGTCCTCATCGTCCTCATAAACAATGTTGATGTGCTATTAGAGCACACTTTGGTACTTTTTGTTACCTTAAATTGTGCTTTGTTTATTGCTCTATCCCACGACAAGATTTCTTTCTTCTATTTTTTTTGGGGAAAAAAACTCAAAATACCAACATTAGAAATAATTTTTTACCTTTCTGTATGCCTCCGATGGTTGTCACAACCACACACAGAACAGTGGTGATCGCATTTTGGCATATTAATTTTGGATAATATTTTTAATATCTAAAGTTTGTAGTGTACAGTAACAATGTTTCACACACTGTAGCATATGTAAGAGATAAATACCGAGAACGGAGGCAATAAGCCATATAAAGCACGAGGGGCCGTAGGCCCCGAGGGCTTTATAGGCTTATTGCCGATGTTCGAGGTATTTATCTGGCTTATTTCATACTTGAAGAAGTTTTCCAAGCACTGCATTAATATTTTCATTTTTAAACATAGGCAAAGAAGCCGTTTTCATATGAATTAAAAACCAAAACCTCGATTAGAAAGGTTATGATATTTACTGTATTGACAATTCCCGCAACGGTAATAATTTGCATAACCATTTTAATTTTCTCGTTAGTCCCATGAGACCAATGCTAACAATATACCTTTTGTAACAAGTAACTGGACAATGTTAAATAACTGTCTTATTCCTCAACTGACATCGATTAGTCAGTTAGCATAACGTGATAAGTATAGGATTTTCAAAGCTAAGGTTGTGGGTTCGAATCTACTTGGTGTCATTTGAATTTTTCTTTCTTTCTTTCAAGTTTAAAGTTTCAGAYGGAAAATTTCTAAGTTGAACGTAGTAGTTAATTAGCTATTCAAGGGCAATAAGTACATTAGTATTCAAGGGCAATATCTAGATATTGCCCTGAAACTTCGATATAAAGCACTTGAATACACAATGAGCTGTGGAATAAGCTAGATACAACACTATGAATAACAAAGAAAACTGAATCAAGTATGAAATAAGTGTATAGAATGATTTTATTGAGCAATCATGCATTTAGCTTGACAAAAAACTCACTATTTTAAGTCCGTGAGCGAAGTGTTACTGTGTACATTCACACTGCGAATTGCGAAAGAAAATTTTTCGCGTATAATTTTACATATATCGTTCTAAACCTACGTATCCAGATTGTACAACTTCCTCCTAATAATATTCCGTAAAAACGGCGTAAAAAAGTGCCATATCCACTGAAAAATCGAGCGATAAACATGAAAATACGAATTTCCGCCATACAAACTCTTGTAGATCACACTTTGTTTGCCCCTTGGCAATCCATGCATGCATTGCGTTTGGGGAGGGATCAAATTACTGGAAACTCATTCATTGCCCCCAGATTAGCTTTCCATTACAAAACGTATCATGAAAATTGAGATGTGCTTGTTAATTTACCTACTGGTTTCGGTAAATCCTTGATTTTTAAATCTTTACTTAAAGTTCTCGATGATTCAACGAAACGTCCTGGACACTTCGCAGCTCTTGGTGTTGACATGTGGCACTCTGACTTCCGTCATATTCCCTTGTAACTATTGCTCGTGGTCGTTTTTCTTGCTGAACAAAAGACTGATCAAGCTCTTTGCGTGTTTCTTCTAGTTTCTTGAAGCGCGATCGTATTATTCAAGCTTTGAAAACATTGTCTACAGACAAACAAATCTGCATCGGCAGGATACGCGGTTACGTAAACTTGCAAAGAATCTTTTATAATTTTAAATATAATTTTATTTTTATCAGTGCTTGTTTTCCCAAAGCAAAATTTCAAAAATACCCTAAATCGTCACTTACGCCATTTTCGCATCCGCCCCTTCAATTGTCTTAATACTGGATTGTAAGTCAATCAGTTAATCAGTCATTTTTCCGTCAAAACCGCACAGTTAGCCAGACAACAAAATCACACAGTTAGCCAAACACTTTTTCGTCGAAATACATAAGTTAAACAACTATTTTTTCGTCTAAGTTGAACTGTTAGCTAGGCACTTTGCCGTCTAAATTGACCAAAAACCAGACACCTTTCTGTCTAAGTCGGACAGTTGGTCAGACAAGTCATCTTATTAAGTCCGTTAGGTAGACACTTTAACGTCTGAGTCCATTAGGAAACCAGACAATGTCGTCGTCTAAGTCAAAGAGTCAACTTTGCCGTCTAAGTCATTCAGGCGGCCATGACATGAAGGGGCGGATACGAAACCGGCGTAAGTGACGATTTAGGGTATTTTTGACATTTTCGAAAAATTAAAAAAACATCATTCCAATCGCTTATTTTAAGTCTAAATAACCTTATTTAGTACTTATTTCTCTTGATTTCTTTCCAAAAAGGGCAAAAAAGGACCCATAGTTACYGACTTCTTTGGCTTGACAACTGATCGCTAGACCGTAAAATATCCTAGATTTGCATATTCGCGCTAAACTCATGACTTTGACAGTTGGTTTGTCGGTTTGTTTTGGTTCGAAGCTGTGCTGCAAGAAGTCGAGAAATGAGTTTTTTCGCGGTTTTCTCAGCCTTTTTGCCTTTAGTCACTACTCTACAGACATCATTAAGTTTGTACTAGGTAGCGAAGGAGCTTACTTGCTGAAAGAATCCAGCTTGGTGTGTGACTTTTTAAGCGATTTTGATTCCGCGGTTCATTCGATTAACTCGGACAGTCGCTTGAAGAGAATCACTTAAAAGACCGTCTAAAGGCAAATCCTTGGAGCTGCCACGGTAATTTTTGGATGTTTTGGCTATTGAGGAACAAAAGCGACTTGAAATTTTGGCAGATTTCCGAGAAGGCTGT